GTATTCTTCGGGCGTCGTGCAGGACCGTTCCTTTGTGGGATATGCGAGCTTTAAACCTCTCGGCCGTCTATTCTAGCCACGTACTATAACTCGCCTGGAACGCGTGCGGTCCCTCAGGGCGGACGCACGAAACGTTTCTTCCCCTTATGAAATTGTAACAGAGGCAGGATTAGCATGGGGCATTGTCTCCAGAGCGAAGGGTAGGTTCACGTTGTAGCGATGTTATCGAGATCTATCCGCCTCGACTCGCGTCTCGAATGTATTCGAATTTCCATTCTCACTTTCGCTTCCGAAAATATGTCAGTATTTTAAATGTACATCCTAAATCTTGAAAAACAACCTTCTTATTGTCCCTTACAGTGTTTTTCACAGCGTATTCAAATGTAACTAAATTCAATTACCAATGAAAATGTATGGAAAGCAAAACATGAACTCTGGATAAATATTCTGTCACACTTTTGGTAAATTCAAAGCAAGATTAATTATAAGATTAATTACTACAGAGCCTTTATATTACTATTTATATCATACATAATAATTACTTAGAATGTTTATTATGTCCGTCGCATATATTTACAAGTTTAATATTTAGACATAGTTATTTGACATTTTCCGTTTTCATCATCTTTCACCTCGATTTCGATTCTTTTCTCACATGTCCGTTCGATTTACGATATATATAACTAACGTCTTCGAGTCGATCTGACCCCATTCGGTGCTGTATCTCCCTCACAGCATTCGTATAGCGATCCCTTCCTGTTTCTAGCAGCCGGACGATCATCATGCATATATGTAAAATGCAAAATTGTATCATCTTATGCGCGGTATTCTTTCTTGCGTTTCCTTCACCTCGCGTCTACGTATCTCGCTTTTCAGTTTACCCCACGACAGCATCCCTCGCAGATCGAAATGCTCCAGGGACTTAAAAACAAGACAAAGGAACGAAAGAAGGGGACTACTGCGGCCTGCTTGGGCCCGCGTTAACGTTTTACGGCCACATATCGCTACGAAAATCAAAATTCCATACTCGTTAATTCTCAATGGAATCGAACGTTGGTGGTGGTAACAGACCGATCTCGCAATGTGATTTCATTGTAACCAAGCTGAATGGACCAAGCATTCACATCACGAAATAAAAAAATCAGACAACAGTAAAATTTACCAAAGAACAAATCTAGCAAAGTTCTCGACACGATAAATGTTTTCATATTTTATAACACGCACACCAATATGATTAATTGTTTAACGTAGACGAAATTGTATATACAGAAAATTTGTATTAACACATTTCATGTGTCCACTCAAATTGTTCTGTTAATTTTACACAAGTTAAATATAATAGGAAAAAACATAAATATTATGCAAATTAACAAAAAATATAATACTAACACAATGTGTAAGCAAACTATGGAAGCATATTTCTTCAGTAAAATTAACATTTATGATATATACAATAAAATCAACACGTATGTTTTATTCATTTATCTTAGAATTTACATTTTACATTGTGATTATATTATTTGTTCATTTACTCATAAATGTTATTTTGACAGAAAGAAATGTTGAATATCAATTTAACACAAAATATTCAAATAACATAAGTAATCACCCACTGCGCATTGACGTTTTCTCATCTCCAGTTCTTGTATGTCCACCATTAATCGCATGTTAAATTAACATTCGGATATGTTAAAAATTCGACACAAAATTATAATAAGGACTTGAGTGAATCGGTTTTTAACACAAATACAAAAATTTTTTACTGGGTAATGTAAGCATATAACAAATAAAATTATTTGTCCCTGGCGGGGATAAATAATTACCGATGGTCGAAATTATTTCATCGTTGCTTCATCATTTCTCCAAACTTTGAAGCTCATGTGGAACATAACTTTATCGCTATCGTTGACACATTTTCGCGCAAGTTACCCAGCGGAAACCCAGCATACGAAACATAAGTTACATTCATGCAAACTCTATATCGCTTCGCGGTGAACGCTCTGGAGTAACTTGAGTAGAACGGCTTGTCCGTGCCGAATAATTCGCGCGTGTACATCAATTCGCTCCGTGTATCTATTTAATGATCATGAGCGACCCAGCGAAACTCCCGGAGGCATGGAGTGAACTATAACGTCATGCTTCGACGTTTTCGCGTCTCCGGTTTCTGTGTATCCACTGACCGCATTGTCATCCACGTTAAAATTAGTTTCAGCGATACCACAATCGTCGCATCTGGCATGAAGATCAACGAGAAACGATGAGAGCGGATATCTATTCTTCTCTGTCTCTCCTATTCAAAGGGCGGTTTTTCATTCTCGCGACAGATGGTGGATTCAACGATACAAATATAATTACATTTTCGAATCGCCATTTCTCTCCCAATATTAGACCATGATTTCATTGTTTTTTTTATCTATGTTCAAAAAATGACTTTTTCTTTCTTTATTGAAGTTTCTATATATGTTAAACAAGCGGAATAAATCAATATTATAAACCCCTTAATAAAAAAAAGATTAATGTGTCTTTTTATGTAAGAATACTTATCATTTTACGTAAAAGTAATTGTCTTTTTATTTAAGAGTAATTATCTTTTTGATGTTAATATCTTTTTTAAGAAAAGTGCTCGCTACATAGAGCGATACTCAGAATTATCCAGTACAAGTTTATCTCCAATAAAATGTTCGCTGTATACATTAATCGCTCTAAGTGTTTTGTTATATCATTCGAGTATCCTTCACCTCTTTCACAAGGAAAGTCCGAGATAACCGTTTATTTTCTAGAACAGTAGAAATCGACACAGTAAAATCGTGATAACGCGTGGAAACTCCAACGTTGCACGAAGTATTCGAAGATACGAACTTCTTGCCGGAAGCTGTAGGTCGAGAGTGAGGGTGGGTCGAGGCAGGTGGAGCAGCACGGTGATTTTCCAATCGAGCCGGGGGGCGTTCGTTGTCTCTCCGAAGGGAACAAATCGACGAACAACGTCGACGATCGAATTTTGTCCCGGTGAGAGTCTACTGAAGAGTAGAATCATAGATAGCCACCGCCAGGTGGATGCGACTCGTCGCATCTTGTCGCAAACGGGGAGAGTTAAAAAACAATTTTCCCTCTCCAGCCGAGAGTCTGGCAGCTGACCGCCGTTCTCGGCATATCGGAGGCGAGATCTCGACAGAGCGAATTTGATTCATCTTCGATCTTTAACGATCAAGTTAAAGTTCATTTGTCAGTCATTAAAATTCACCTGCCAGCTTTCTTGTACATAAAAAAAAATATGTGCATAATATAAAAAAAGCTGCGTTTCAAAAGTATCTATGATAAAATGATGATTCTCAGTTTAAAAAAACAGTCTAAGAAAACAAAATATTCTGTAAATTCTCCTTGGTAGAAATTTCATATATTTTTTGAGCAACTACTAAACAGTTACATCAACTTCTGTCTAGTAACTGAGAAGGAAAACTATTTGGGATCTCAATCAGGTAACGCTTTGCTTACAGTTATTGTATACAAAAGTTGCGTAAAATTTGAATCCAGTTATTCAATAGAAACTCAACAAATAATTGATATTAAATTAATAAGCAAATCAACTGCTCATGAAATGCACAGAATAAAATTCTATCAAGTTCTTATCTATTTCCTACTATTAGTATTGGCACAACTAATAAGAATATAATAATATTAAATAGTAACTGGATAGGTGTCTAAAGAAAACTGTATACATTTCTACCAGAATTGTAATAGCTTCATAATTAACCCTCCATTGAGAATGTAAAATTTCTATCCGCAATCTGAATCTCCGCACTTCAGTGTAGATTATTCCACACTAAAAAAAATGCATGTAATTTTACATGGAAATTACATGTTTATGACTGGAAAATTACTTAAATATGATTGGAAATTTACTGGAAATTGTTCCAATCATATTTATGTAATTTCCATGTAAAATTATATGCATTTTTTTCAGTGCAGACTGTATAAAATAATTCTTACATACTTGTGAAAGTTCCAACAATGAATATTTATTATCATAGAAATTGAATTATATTTTACTTATTTTTCACAGAGAGAGAAAGAAAAATTAAAATTTATCGACCAGAATTCGAAATAAAAAAATTTACCTTTAAAAGCCAACATTGTCGGCGGAGGATTAAAATGTACTCGTAATTGTTTATGTCTCAGGCGTCATTCGTATGATACGCAAATGCACTTAGTGAATAGAATATATGAGCTTTCAAACCGAATCCCACCGACGAGGGAGACCGTGGAAAAATCATCGTACGATTCGTTTGCCTACAATGGATCGCTTAACCGGCAGATACGCGTCAGCTGTCCCGATGATGTCGGTGTCGTTTCGCTCGACTATGCGTGATTGACAGTTTTATGGGGACGAGCGGAGCCCATGCACTTTCCAGTTACGATCGGGGTCTGGTTTTATCATCCCCTCTTCCTTCAAACGGGGGCCAAACATTATGTGACATATGATGCTAATCGATACGCGGATGGCCGCGAGGGAAAAAAAGGGCGTAGTACGGTAGGCTAAGTTCTTTCTAATTAGCAAATGAATTCTTTATACGATATTTGAGAAACAATGAGTTCATGGTTTACGGTCTGTAGATAGCATTAAAATTGCGTTCTATTCATTTAGTTTTCTTTATTTCAATTCCAGAAACTATAACTATGAAGGCTACCGTCTTCACATTTTAAATACAGTTGAAACGTTTATCTTTAAATATATCAAAATTTATAACATTTTATTGAACGTATTATGTAATTAAAAATTATAAACCTTGTTAAAGTTTTACAAAGTTGTTTCTAAAAGCTTCATCATACTAAAACACAGCAGGTGATCACGTTTTCACATTTAAAGCTAAATGCGACTTTAATTATAGGTTTAATTCATCATTTCAAACACATGAACAGTAAACTCGATGTGAATGTAACGCATTAGATGACGCATGTTAAGCCAGTAGAGATCGGAATGTACAAAAATCTGGACAACTCACCTCGCAATTGGAATGACTGATGTTACTCAGATTTAGCCTGAAGATCTTGTCCCTGAAAGCAGAAGAGGAAAGTTTCGTGTTAACGTAACGGTCGAATTAAGCGTGGTCGCGATAGACGAAAGGGTCGAGGGGTAAATTTTCATTCCCTACGTCTACGAGATGCATTACTCTCCGTGACTCGACCCTACCTTATCTCGCCACGGTTATGTATGGTTGTGTAGCACCGCGGCATTTTGCTTACGGCTCTCCGACATGGCGAACGCCAGCAAACGGCACGGAATTTCTATGAGGATGGAAAAGGAGAGACCGGAGGGTAAAATAGAAGGAGTTTCCTCTTTTCTGACCGAGTTCTGCGCTGTCTTTTCTTTTTTGTTCGACGGTGACCGGAGTCACGTCGTTCTCGTACCGTTTGTTTTTATTAGGATTTTATTCTTCGGAAGAGATCGTCGTTCACATCCGAGACTGACGGATAAAATATAATAAGAATAGTCGATAAGTCGAAATAAAGATTACGTAATGCGTCGTTGAAGATTCTCATACTAAAATTAATGTGACAGCCACTAGTATTAATAATTTCGTATCGGTTGTCAAGGCAATTTCATTTTAATTTCACATTTCGACGTAAAAATGATGTCTCAGGTATTTTGATCAATATAACAGCCAGTCGATATGAATGCAGGAAAACTGTGACGATTTTCGTATAAATCTCTTTGCAACCAATGCGGTGGCAATCTGAGGTTCTGCGTTCGATCGTACGTAAAAGGTATATGCGGTGCTGGGCGCCACCGATCGTAAATCGAATTTACCCAGTTTTCAAATGTGTGTGTTTCGCAACATTAACGCCGGCGCGCCGCATAACTTTATCCCAATAGCCATTCATCATCGCCTTTCAATAGAAATACGCAGTCGGACGGAATGCGCTCGCGAAACGTGAAAAAAAGGAGGAGAAAAAGAAAAGAAGGAAGGAAGACCTATCCCTCAGCGGCTCTCCTTTTTCATTCATTCTATGCATCGCACCGTGAAAAAGTAAATACCGATGTGGAAAAACAAATCCGTACTTTGGAATCTACCCGCGTCGAACTTTCGTCTCGGCGAACTTTTAGAGGGTAAAAGGAAGGAAGGAGTTAGGACCGAAGCGAGTATCGTCTACGTGCTGGCACGTCGCTCATGCTACCGAAAGAAAAAATTCGTAGGAAAGTAATTTGTGGGGAAAGCTCGGTGTAAAGGGTGGATTGCTGCAAAGTCATCGCTCAGTTCCTTTGAAATTCAATTGGTAAAACGTGCGTAATCAAACCGAGAAATTACTTCACCGCTGAAAATCGCAGAGGAAAAATTTCATTAAGATCTCATTGACACGCTTCCACGAGAAGTGGAACATTTTCTAAAAATAAAGAAAGTGTTACTTGAGAATCGGGGAAAGAATTCGGTTCAATTTAACATTTTACATCGCCTTAAGGGCTTTCCAGGGAAAGTTTAATTAAAATCTCGAGCAGTTTGCTGAGGTCGTACAGCAATTTCTTAAACTATTAAAGACGCCTTGTAGAGTACAGAAGAAATTTCAACAAATTTCATTGCTAATTATGCAAATAGGAACAAAGACTTAATTAAAGACTGGATCTAACATTTACGGCACTCCAAACAATGCCCATGTGTGATCATACAAATTGTCCATATTTTCATTTGAAATTGGTCGCAGTTTAAGATAACAGAAAGCATCGCTTTCATGTCTAGGATTTCACTTGTGTAATACGGACATTTTCATCGTGGGCGAGAAGGAGCCTGACGAATGCCGGGCGAAATCCGAAAAGCATCGTCTGAATTTGTGGTTGTGCGTGACAGACAGCTCTGACCCAGGATGCATTATCCAACGCGTCGAGATCTACTCCCTTGCATCTCTCTCTTCCTTGCTACTTTGGGGGAATACATGACAAGGGCCAGAGAAGTGGTGTTTGCAACAGTGCTATTTACCCCAACGCCTTGCCTTCGGGAAGGAGATGTATATCCGCGAGAAGAGATGGGTTTAACATAATAGAACGATTTTAATAATTCCCAGTATAAATCAACGAACGTATACACGTCGGAATAACGTTACATTTACGTTTCAATAAACCGCAATGCAGCTCTGACGATTTAATACATCACTTTTCATAAAATAATAGTGACGAAAAATAAACATGCGTATGTGAGCGGTAAGTAATAGAGCAATATGGAAAATAGATGGAAATACTACTGTTGAAATATGCGATTTAGCAAGAATTAGGTTTAACCTAATTCTCTTCCATACAATTTTATCAGCTGCAGTCGAACGAATAATCCGCTAAATCGATATACGACATCTGAAGTGTCAACGTTGAAAATGTTCGAGAGAGAGAGAGAGAGAGAGAGAGAAAGTTGAAAGACCATTGTCGGTTATACAAAGCCCGTGACCGTTTTCACCTCGCTAACATTCGCGATTGTAACTCACTTTTCTCACGCTATCTCGAGCTTTCCCTGGGTTGTTTCAGTGGACATTACGAAGGTGAAATCTCTCCCATTACGTTTTCCGGCAACGGTTATTGGGAACAATTAGGAGGAAAATCGATCGCGACTAGATGTGACGTGTTAATCTCCGGTCGCAGTTGCTTCCCGCATCGAATTGTCGTGTCGAATCACAATAGAAATCTGTCAAGGAAAACGACAGAATCGACCGTACGAGACGAAAATATGATCGACGAATTTTTATCTCGTTTCGCTAGACGTGCGGCAGACACAAGCCGCGGACAGGAATATAAGCGAGCTACATTTTTTTGTACTGCTCTCGCCAGCGGCCCCTCTGGCTTGATAATTGGAAGCGTTCAATTAGCGTGCCTTAATTGCGGAGCGAACCGCAACGCGGGTGCCGATTCTCAAACTACAATTAATGGCTATCACCTTTCTAATTAACGAGGAACGATGCTCGTGTATCGATCGTCGCGTGCGATAACAGAGGAAAAATGATATCGCGAAGAATAGATACAGCCGAAGGACACGAGAAAAGAATCCTGATCAAACGTGAGGTCGCGCAAGTGGATCGATAAAAGGTCAAATGTCTTAAAATCATTTAAAAATTATGTCTACGAGATCATAAAGCTTAAACATCCCTTACCGTTGAAGAAGGAATACCGAAACGATTTCCTTTTAGACTCTTATCGGAATTCTCTTCGATATTGTAGTTTTGTAGATAGATATCTTGTATGTATATACAAGACGATGCAAGCACGTGGAACGAAGCCAGGAAACAGGAAACGTTGAAGTCGAAGTAGCCGCTTTCCTTGGGAAATGCAATTTATCGTAACTGCGCTTTTTCTTTTGTCGCTCCATATGGCGGGCTCATCCCATCGTAAAGAGAGAGAAAGAAAGTGAGGCAGAGTTATTTCAAAAGCGGAAGCTTTTATGCGATTGTGATGCTTTATTTTTCAATCATACAGAAATATGATTTACATTATTTAATTTGATTTCTCTTTGTGTTTAAATTAATTGTTATTAATTGTTATTAATTTTTTTTTAATTTTTAATCTTTTTAAAAAAAAGGTACACTTTGTGTTTCAAGTATCGATATTAATTTTATAAAAAATGTCCTATATATATTTTTTTTTATATGTATATATGTAGAACACTTATATATATTTTATATATGTATGTATATGTATACATATTTATTTGTTCTCTCAAAGAGAGATTAAATTGTAACCATTTTGCTATCTGCGTACTGCAAGCAGTTGTAATGATTCCGAAACAGGGAAGTCAATTGAGCGTCTTGTCTCATTCATGACGAAAACATATTCGCATGTTCAAATTGTAAGAGAACTTCATAAGACGATCTGTGTTCCGCCTCACAAAGGGATTAAACAAGCATCCTGTCTGTCTCGAGATTTCTTCGTATCCGCGAGCATTGGTAGACTATATTCCCGTTACGTCTCCGTTACCGAGGCTTCGTAACATTTTACTGGCATTTACTAAATTAAGGGGAGGGAGGAAACACAAAAGAGAAAGGAGAACGGGGGAGAATGTTAACGGGGATGGTTGCTGAGGGTAGCGTCGTCAGAAGCGGCTGGGACCGAATCAAGAAATAATATCTCCGCTGAGATAATGATGCGACGTTTCCCTCCTACAATTTCTACCGGGTATACGATCGGCTCTTTAACTTTCGCCTCTGTCGAGTCACATTGAGAAAATAGTAACTCAATACTCGTACGAACAGCGAAGAGACAATCGATTTAACGGATTATTACTGCTACCTAGGAAACGGCGAGAAACTTTTCGTGGAACTTTTAATTACGGCTATAAGATACGTGAGAGATTTAAATCGAGATAGAAATTTGGAAATATTAATAGATTCGCGCAGCATTAAGTCATTGTTTATGATACACAATATACAATTCACAATATACAATTTCGAGTGCAATATCTAAGGTTGTTACGTTCAAACGATGAAATAACAAATTCATTAATTCTGATTTCTATTGACACGACGTTTTTCATTTCCTCAGCAACCATAATTGCCGAGATCGTCAGTTTCGATTTGTATTATATGTTTGCTTTTCTTGCCGTTTTCTTCCGCAGCTCAAAGGATCCGAGTAAATTGCCTTTCTGCAAAGTGAAACATTTAGAGCGAGAGGATTCTGATCATCTTCTATAAAGCAAGGCAGACAAGTAAATAAGCCCGCGGTTTTCATGAACAATAACAAAAGTAGTAAACAGAAATATGCATATAATCGTGAATTAAAACAGTTGAATATCATAAAATAAAAATGTTTTAAATATTTTCTCTCTCTCTCTCTCTCTCTCTATCCTCTATAAATAAGCGGGACGCCGCGAGTCATTCCATCATCTATGCAACGATAATTATTATCCCGAAAGCTGATATCACGTGTAACGGGTAATCCCTCAAAGTTCAGATTATCCGATTACTCGATGACATCGGAAAATTCAATCAAACGGCACGATCCCCGCGCTTCGCACACGTTGTAGAATTTTAATCACAGCAATCGTAAAAATCTGCAGCGTGGCACGTACATATGTATGTAACGCGGGCTCGGCGCACTGACGTAATACCTCTGTCCTCGGGCTTTGACGAGGGAACGTCGCAACTTTTCCCAGGGATTTTCATGGCGTGACATTTTATTACGAAGCTCGGAAAAAGTTCTACTTACATAGCTCCGACGTATAGGGCATCCCTCTTACTGTCCAGGTAGAGCGTCCTGTAGTACAGCATGCCGCAGCTGAATTCCCGCACGTGTTCTGAAAGCAAAAGTAAATAAGGGGATTAAATGTGCGACGTCGTAGCACCGGCGAAATTCATTTTCCGTGCTGCGGAAACGCGGCGAATCCGCTACCGTCGTCGCGGCCGCGTCGCGGCCGCGCCGCGCCGCGCGCTCAGTGGATCGTTAGATTTTCATTACGACTTTTATAATAACGGCCGGATAGAGTAAGGTGCCGCCCTACCGCCCTGCCGACCTCGCCGGTAATCCGGCTAAAGTCAACTCTGACTTATCTCTACCGTAAACTCGTCGGAATTACACGGCACGTAACGCGCGCGCTCGACATTTTCGTTCCATCGGCCAGCGCGGATTCGCTGAAATCCGCACCGCGGAAACATTGAAGATCAACTCGCGCGAGGAGCCGCATGTTAATATTAGCGAATGAAGCGCCCACGGAAAGAACTTTTGCAATTGTCTTCGTTGATGTGACTTCTCGTGCTTTCGAACAAATTCTGGAGTAAAGAAAGTATTTAACTCTTCTTAAGTTTCGCGAAGCTTTGTGAAAATTTAAGAAACGATTCGTCCCTTTAAGATTTCAGTAAAAAAAAAAAAAGAAAAAAGAAAAGAAAAGAAGAATATATCTTTTCATACATTTTTTACAACTTTTGAATTATTTAAGAATATCAAGTCAATTCGATTGTCACATTTGCACTAAAAGTGCGTAAAATTCACGGGCCAGCCGTTACCACATGAACGAGAAAGAACAGTCGACGGCTCTTGCCAACTCCTCCTCTTCCTCTCCTTCTTTTTATCTCATCGACACTGATCTGCTTAACATATGAAAGAAAGCAGCCCCTTTCTAAATATACTCGTTCCACTTCGAGCTAACAGAGCGCGAACAATACTATATTTTATACGGTATCAGGAGGGGCCGACGTGGAATGAAAGGGGTTCTTACTCTGGAACAGAGCTACTCTTCCTACGTATCTATCCCTTGTTCTCTCCCCCCCCCCTCTCTCCCCACTCTCTTCTGTCTTTTCCTGACCTCTCTCTTTCTTCTATATCTTCATGCGATATCTTCATGCGCTAACCAACCCACCGCATGTTCTCTTTCCTTCACGAACCCCCGCGATGCTGGGGATGAAGAAACTTGTGATCTTGCTTTATCTCCGCGGAACGACCGACGTTACGTTACGGTCCCTCTAATGTCGGACTTATTCAAAAACGATGTGCCACCCATAGGTCGTTAGATCGGCCTAGATAGACCACGACTAGACTGTGTGTCTCCTGAGAGACACACTTTTCCAAATTTATATTCACTCGCGAGCACGGCACATTCGCGTTTCCCATTTTTCGTCGATTTCATCCGAATATATTCGCGCTCGTTTCCCTCGAATGCATAGGTATTCCCGCGAGAGTTATTTCGATCTTATCGTCGTAATGAAGTTGTATCGTCCACCGCGTACAGAAGACGGCATCCGCACCTGCTGCTCGTTGTATCCGAGTTAATATAACTGTTGCATCCTGACGGTAGCTTCTATTTCTGACCCACGGATAAAATTGGCCGCGTCGCGACTCGCACGATTGTTAATGGGATAAACGTCGCCGCGTGGCGTAGGTTCTATTTATGCAGAGCCAGACTCGCCCTTTTAATACAACGTTATTTATTAAGCGTACAGAATATAAAGAGAAATATCTTCTGAATCTGCAGTAATAATATGTCTCGTGTCGTATTCACTTTTGTACGTTCATTCAGCAAAACTATTTCTGTAAGATATATATATATATATATATATATATATATATATATATATATATATATATATATATATATAGAATCAAGCTAGTCAACGCGTTATTTGTACGGTCATTTTCACAACATTTCGCTAAACGGTTGCAATTAGAACTTTCTGCGGCTTTACAGTTTCGCCATCTCGCATAATTATTCGATAATTGTTGCATTATTTTCGATTGCATCTCGTGCCAATATTTGCTTAATTAATTATATATGATACGTGCATAATATAAATAATTAATCGTTCAATATTGATGCGCTGGAGAAACGTATGGCGCCGTTACCGCCACCACTGAGTTCTCCGACAAATATTTACCATCGTGTAATTTACCGCCATTAAAAGACGTCCACGAGGCGTACGTGCGCAAACACACTGCCTACTTATCGTAAATTACTTGCAACGCATTCCCATAAGAACGTGCGCTGAAACTTCGAGGGACGATACAATCGCTAATCGAGGTTGTTAACGGTGCGTGATAACGCTCTAACGACCCTAGTCGCGGAAACCATCCATTTGAATTCGGTGGTTTCCGGCAACGGCCTAATACCTTTACAGTATTTCTTAATTAAGCACACCACAAGAGAGTATCTGCGACCTAGGATCGTTACAAATCTTGCTATCGAGGCCATTATATCTAATATAAAAAAGAAGGGCTTACGAAAACTGAGGGTCGAAACAGAAATCGTTGCATCACAAACATACAGACATATAAATTATTCTGTTTATTCAAGAGCCCTATTCTCCTAAATCACGCTTGTCCAATTTAAACTCCGGTGCCAGAACGCAAAGCCATCGAAAAAAAATACAATGTGAGTAAGATTTCAAGGACTGTAAAGTATTGATAAGTGTCACTCAGATGCGTATCCACACCTTACAGTCCCCGAAATCTCACATTAAATTTTTTTGCATCGATGGCTTTGCAAAACATTTTGGCTCTGGAGCTCAAATTCCACAGGCCTAAATGATTATTCGGATTACTTTTTATAGTTAGAGAAATGTGTGTGTGTGTGTGTGTGTGTGTGTGTGTGTGTGTGTGTGTGTGTAGAAACATATACACATGTCATTATCTTACGAAAATAAGAGCAGTTAGCTGATGAGTTGTTTATAACACTAAAACGAGAAGCTATAAATTACTTTGAGGATAAACATTGTTTTAATTTCTACGTTCATCTAAGATAAATTTGGAATATGCCGTTTCAAGCCAAGCTATCGTTAACACTGTTGATTTAAACCCTACCAACTTTATGGATCTCAATATGTACGAGAGGACGATTCGCTCTTTAAATCCTCTCTATATATTGTATGTCCACGTCATGCTCCAATTCCCTAGTCTTGTGTACACGTTTTTGCATCTAAATGCATTTCCCTCGAAAGCCTTTAATCGCTATTTGCAAAACATCCGGCTTCGGTCCAAGCAATAAATAATCCGACTTTCTGGAAAATTCATTTCCTATATCCTACAGTATAATTTTATCATGTATATCTCATCAATAGAGGAAAGGCCCCTATTATGAGATACCGAGTTTATTTTGAGTAAATGCTAGAAATCTATGAGCAGAATTAAATAAAATAATAGGTTATTTTGAATTTAATAAGCTTTAAGATAATGTTATGTAAAATTTAATATAAATTTTATTTTTATTATTAGGTGTTGGAATTAATTCGTAGCGTTTTTTAATGAAAGAATGTTATTTATTTCACATGAGCATTAAAAAATACATTAATGAAAGTACTTCCCATCACTTGTAAAACGCTACGAATTAATTCCAACACCTAATATAAATTAAAGAATGTAAAAAGTGAGCAAATCGCAAAAAATAGTGCTCCTAATATAAGATGTCTCGAGAAATCGATAATAAAACGCAAAGTACATCAGTATTGCAATTAAAAAACTTTATTTAATGTTTCTAAAATACAAATAAACACAGCCAATGCACGTGCAAAATGAATATGCGATGCATTGTACCTAGCTGACTCGTCTTCAAGTAGTTGGAATCAAGCATCGCAGAAACAGGCACTCAATGTTTATTTCGATCTTTTTTTTTATTATTTGTACAATAACATTTATACTTAGCAACGATTTTCATTATGACATTAGGAGCATAGGTTATTTCATATTAGAAATATGCTGAGTATCTCATCTATCTATCGTATCTATTACGATTTTTACGCCTTATAGTTTTACGATCATCAAATCTAACTTCTATAATTAAGCAATTTAACATATCACGTGTTTTTCTATTAATATGATCTTACTCTATGCTCTCACCACATAATGAATTCATTGCCAAATATTTACTTTATTTATTAAATAATAAACAAGATTTAAAAGTTCATCTCAACGAAACTTGAAGACATCCAAATTCTAAAATTTTTTTTGCAACGACTACAGGCACGATCTAATAATGAATTTTCCACTAAAAATAAATAGTTTTCAATCTAAGAACAATAAATTCATAGTGGAGCCAATAGATAGCGTTTATTAGTTTAGCAGAAATGCCGCTATCTCATATTAGACGCCTATCTCATAAATAATAGGGAGCTTTCCTCTATACTTTATTTTTCTTTCTTAATATATGTATAGTTGGAAAATGAATTCTATCAAAAATTCAATTGACTCTTTTTTTCTGTATCCAAAATATTGCTAAATAACGAAAAGATCAAGTGCTCATGAGAATGTTTCATATTTTCAAATATTTTGACCTCTCTTCGCTAATCTGAATGTATAAATCACTTTTCTACAAACTTTGCAAATAATGCATTCAATAAAGTGCATAACAATAAATGAGAGTTATAATATATAAAATTCGTCAAAGAAGCAAACCGCATCGATGGTTGAATGTCGCGACAATAGAGATTATGAGTTACTAGCGCTGAATAGAGTTTTCGCTGGAAGGCAAATAAGGAGAATGAAAGTTGAGATAACTGTATGAGCAATCAGAGATTTTTAGAAATTTTATTCTTGCCATAATAGCTTTTGAGATCGCTTCGCATTCTCATGAATCGAAGTAAAGTTGATGTTATTCAAAGTTTAATAAGCTCAGCCGTGAGCAGGAACATAATATGTATGTATTTTTGCGTTCTCGTGAAAAAAGTGAATGCGATTGGATTACGAGATTGCTGAGATACAAAATCTTGATGTGATATTATATTTCCAACGATATCCTGGGAATATTATAAAACCGATGGTTATTCTTGAAAAATTTATATATACACTGCAAATTTAACTTGCCGCGCAATCGTT